CCACATCTGATCTGGTGCTCCTGCTATATATTTAGAAATTCTTGATAAAATCCAAAGAAGAATTTGCAATGTTATTAGTCCTGATAAACTTTCCACTATGGTATCTAGACTTTATGAATTTAAGCACAGTACTATCTTGGCAGCAAAGTCTTATCATTTTATCATTGAATTGGCTAGATATAACCGCAAGTTCTATGCTAACATGATCTTCAAAAAGTTAAATACTTCAGTTTTCTTAATTCCCGTTCTTTTATTGTCTTCACTCCTTAATAGTAGTTTTTCTAATATTCTCTAACACTTAGTAACCCCTTGCATCCTAGTGATTTTATTGCCTTGATTGGCATGAAATAATATAAAAAAAAAAGTTACACCAAATGTAAGTGGGGGAGTGACATAGTATTCCCCATAGAGTCCTTTTCCTCCTTGGTCAATTAATTCTATAAAAGAGGAGTAATTTCATTTAAAGTCATGTTAATAATGTGTGTTGTCTTCCACAAAATATATTTAAAATCTTATTGATATTCATATTTCTACCCTTCTGACCCAGAAATGTTTGCATGGTTGAGAATATTATTGCACAGCTGACAATTTAATTAGTTTTGCTTTGTTTCCAAATAATGATTATTTGAATGTACAGAAAAGAAATAAAAAGGCATTTTATCATTTGTAATACTTTCAACTAGTCAGCTTCATAGGAAATAAACTAGTAACAAAAAAAAAAAAAATGGGGGAGTATACAAACAAAAAAATCCAAAATATTGATTTACTGACAGGTAAAATGATTTGAAGTTAAGGGATATCCAAGTCAGAAATTAAGGGTATTGACTTGAATACACAAAATTCAAATAAAGGACTTCCAGGGGAAGTCATTATAATATGGACCTGTAGATCATTAATGGTGTGATTGACCTTCACTGGGAACTACATATTTGTGGCCTTGCTGGGTGGACCCCAGAAGTTTAGCTTAGTAAATAAATAAAGATAGACCCCCTCCTGCTGCGCCATCTTTTTTTTTCTAGAGAGAAAAAGTAAATAAACCGACTTTTGCCCCCACATATTTACAAAATAATAAAACGGAATGCATTATAAATTGGAAATTAATTTATGATTTGAGCAAAAGTCCCTAATGAGGATTAAGGTCGTGTTCAGAATGACAGCTACATACCCCATGTTATTTGTTTTGTATATTATATTTCATTAGCAAAAATTCACAACAGAAAAGCAGAATAAGCTTTATGCAAACCCAATGACCTTGACTTAGTTTTTTTTTTGTAAGTGTTAGTCCCCAGTAGGTCAAAAGAGAAAGAGGAATTCAGTTATATCAAACAGTTGTCATTATATTAAATAAATTTTTAAAAGACTACAAGGTAGACAATCAGATATAAACAACAAACCTCATTAAGAAAAGAAAAAAAAATCTATCTTAGAAAGTTTATTAAGCATTTTCTTTCTCACTAGGCATGTATAAAATTAAAAATAAAATTCCAACAAAATAATATATACAATAAAATAAAAAAAATTATTATATTCAGTTTGAAAGATGAAGTTGTTGAAGATTACTCTGATCAACAAGTCGCCGATTCAGACTGAAAGGCACAATGACCAAAACATTGTGATAACAACAACAAAGATCAGGATACTAGTCTGCATGTAAATAATATAAATAACTCCGCATCCCAAAAATTCAAACAGAATTTTTTTTTTTAAATTTGAAAAAATGATTTTTATAAAAATATGGCCCAAATAGAACATAGCAACATATATGCAGACATTACACCCAGACTTTTAAAAAATCAAAAAGCACATAGTAAATAACAGATGCTTTTCAGAATCTAAGTTAGGTAATAAAGAATCAGAAAATAACATTGGCAAATGAGAAGAGGGTTCTATGCTGCTATGTAATGTCTCCCGTTTTTAAATAGGGGTGAAGACTAAACAATGTTGCTGCATATGAATTGCAGTGACAGAGATATGGTGTCACCGACCAATATTTAGGATATCAGACAGAACTTAACAAATGAAAAAGTTCTAAAAGAGAACAGCAACTATCAATAAGTTTTTGCTGACATTCACAAAGAAACAGCAGTGTGGCAACAGAATGTGGGAAAGAGAAATTCATAGTTACATCGGAATAGCAAAAGACACTTTTCAGAAAGTATGGTACAGTCAGTTAAGTGTCGTCATATGTGATACATGATTGAGCAATCAAGTCTCTTTCAATTTGTGATTGACTAGGCAGAAGATTTTCCATGTTGCCATTTCTTTTTATGGTAGACTGGTTGCCAACCAAGGCTACAGAACCCAGTCTGTCTTGCTATTCAACTCATAGCTGGGAGAGAAGAAATGAATTTATACATTTCCCATTTTATTTATACATATATGAATGTAACAAAGTTGGCTGAAATTTGAACTCGGCTCCCCAATTTCTCATTCTAAGCCACAATCCATTACTCTGCATGCACATTGGAATAAAAAAGCTCATAGTAAATAGCAGAAGATGCCTTTCAGAATCCAAGTCAGCTAAAGAATTAGAAAATAACATTAGAAAACAAGGAGTTCTACAATGCTGTGTAGGAGGATAGATGTGAATTTTGAACAATTTTGTCACAAATGAAGCAACCAAGAAATGGTTCTGCCAAATAATGTTAAGAATATCATAGACAGAAGAGGAAAGGACAATAAGAGCTACAAAAAGCCTTTTACTAAAAATGAAAATAAAACATTTAAAATTTTGGGGACAATGAGGTAAGAAAGCTTAGAGAAAATAATACTCACAGGGCACATCAAAGGCTAGTAATTTCCTTATGTTTGTGCAAATTGGCAAGGAAACAAAATAGCAAAAAGGCAAGGTATTTTTAGAGTAATAACAAGCAGGAAGCTGTGGAGAACATTGACACCCCCCACTCCCGTAATTTCAGACTGCTTCTCATAAAGTGAGGTTTTACACAATGTTCCTCATCCCTAACAGTCATATTTCTAATAATGAATGAATGTCATAAAAAACTTGATTTCTGTTACTAAGCTTCTTCCAGTAGTTTTTAGACATAAACGAAACTTCTGTTGTATTTTGGTAGTTTTGGTCATAACTTATCCGTATTTAATTTAATTCGATGTATTGCTGGGTGTTTAAAAGTGTGGGGGGGAGGTAAATTCCGACGGTTTGACCATTGAACTTTACTTAGCTAAAAAGTAGCCGTGCGTAAACAAATTATTTTTTTGCTATTTTGACCAATAAGCAAGGTTTTCAAAATCCAGTTGAACAAGTGTACAAAATTATTTTTCCCGAAATTATCATTGATCCTCCATTTTATAATTGAAAGAAAAGTGATGACAAAATTTATTCAAAAAAAAAAAAAAATCTCTTGAAAACCAAGTGTCTGTCCTACAGATTTGTTTCAAAGAAAAATAAAATTAGTAAATTTAACGGTCAGTTAAGCTTATTTATTTATCGATAAAAACGTTTTTAAGGGGTTTTGCCTACATTTTTTTTTGTCAGTTGAGTACCTATACATTCGTTGATCTTCTTTCCGGGGGATGAATACAACCCCACTCAAAAAACTGAAGCAACACAATCCCACTTCCCAAAGTAAGAATGTAGTTTAGCGTCCGAAATAATCCCGATTGTAGGGAGAGCACTTGACAGTCACTTACAATTTCGTGATCGTCGACATTTTGAGTGACAATTAAACACACAAAAAAAAATTATTTATTAAAAAATAAATAATAATGTCCAAGACCTGAATGTTACAAATAGGATTTTCGAGAACAGTTAAATAACACATACAAAAAAAGTGGAGGTGTGGGAGGGTTTAAACATGACATGATGTCTTACTTTTTTTTTAACCCCACCCACAAATTAATAATTCACTAACCCAACGATTAACAACGTGGAAATTGAAACCAGCATGCAGAGTTCAAATTCCAGCTGAAATAATTTATGTTCACTTTTACAACAACGCCATTAGGAAAGGCATGGAACCACTTCTCCCTCTCCTCTGCAATTAATAACAGAAGGATAATTCTGAATTCAAAACTATGAAGAAAGCAACGGGAAACCTCTCCATAGCAAAGTACAGCTTAATTTTTAAAAAAGAAAAAAAGCTGTGATCACGTATACACGCCTTGAAAAGATATAGAACTTAAAGAGAATTATCTGTTTTATTTAGAAAGCGCTTAAAGTTGCTAAAGTTGCTATATTTCTAAATAAAAGATTAAGCGATCAATAAAAAAAGAAAATAAAGTTTAAAAAAATGTTTACTTTAAAATTCAAATAAATGACTTTCTTTATGAATTTAAAAGAAGATATGCGATAATTTTCATATCCGTCGTGTTAACGAACAATTACATTTGACTTTAAAAATAGATTTTATTTTTATTTAGAGAAAGTTTATTTTTAAAAATTTAATCTAAGAAAAAACAACAACAATAAAAAAAAGGACAGGACTTTTAAAACTTTTAAGAAGTGTTCTTAAATACATTCTTCAAAATAAATTAATCGATCACGTTTGTTTAACTCGCGAGTTCGATCTTTGGGTGTCCCACATTTGTGTCCTTGTGTCAAACAAAGTTAAACTTCTTAGTAAATAACAACAGGGCACCTCGGTGTGGGTTAGTGGTTTATGAGCTAATCTGGTTGACCATTATGACTGAATAGCGAGTTTGAGAGTTTTTGGGGGCCTAAGCTTCATAAATAACAACGGAGCGCCTGGATAATTAAGGTAAAAATGGTTAACGAAGTGTGAACTGTGAGTTCTATCCTCATTGGGGGCCCAACTAAGCTTCTTAGTAAATAAAATAAAATTGTGTAATTTCATTCCTAAGTAGTTGCATTTTCGTCTTAAAGCTAAAATAAAAAGGCAGCGGCATTTTCTGAAATAAAAATAAACAGGGCAAAGTCGACAACAAAAAATAACATTTTTTTAAAACAAACATCCTCCCACACATTTAAAAATTAAGAATCCATACACTAAAAATGAAATACAATAACAATATCGTCTTACCTTTTTCTAAATCCTCTATGTTGGAGATCACACTCCCAATTTCTTGTCCTTTAAAACTAGCCATATTATTAGTTTTTAAACCGTTCTTCTCAACAATAAAAATATCATAACATTAAAAAAAAAAGTGATCGAAAGACGAACAAACAAGACTTCTGCTTCTCAAATCATGTGACCAATGACCCGGATATAGACTTGAACTATCTCGCAGAATTTCAGGTTTTTCTACTATTTTAGTTATTTTACCAGTTTTTTAGCATAAAGAATTTTATTAAATCATATAAGTAATTTAAGAAAATTACCTAATAAAGATATTCTATTTCATGCAACAATTAGTATTGTCATTATTATTATTATAATATTATTGTCCGAAGTGTAAGTATACCCGTGACGAAAGGGTTACCTCCCTTGAAAAGTCAGCTGACTTAATTTTTAAAAAAAAAATCTTTTTTACAAGTACAAAAATTTCATAATTTCTAAATTGTTGAAACTCTTTTATTTTTTTAATTTATAGAATAGATATTCATAATTTAAAGTCAATAAAATTAAGAACAAGGTAAAATGTCAATAAAATCGAAAACCAGTGTTTTACAATGAAAGTGAATTAAAAAGAGGTGTAAAAAAATTAGCAATTTTTCCATTTTAGCATCGGAAAGATTTCTCACATTAAAAACATCCAATTACCTTTTTTATATTGCTTTACCTAGTTATTTATTTCGAGCATGCTGTTTCCATAAATAAATGAAAAACTTGCTAACCAGACTAAGAAATTTTTAAACTTTACCTAGTTTCATATTCTGCACACACATCATTTATTCCTTGAATAAAAAAAATATAAGAATTAAATATATGTGGCCAATAAAAATTTATAAATCAAAAAGAGTAATTAAAATAATTAAAATAAAAATCTGTATTGTTGACGCCTCCTGCTATCCGCTACCTTTACAAGAGTCAGGCCAGTCTGAAAACAAAGTACTGCTGCCATACGTGGGCAGCAGCTGCCCAGGCTTCAGTTTGAAGTCTCAATAGTGTCTAAAAGCACCTCTGCCTCCTTTAGGGTGATGAATTAATTTTTCACCCTACAACCCATTTCCCATAGATGAAACTTCACAAGCCTCTTACCACTCTCTCACTATTTCCATGAAAATTGTTCAGATGAACTACATTTCTTAATTCCACCAGTTCTAACCTTCATATCTAAGACCTTCCATGCTACATACATTGTAGCAAACCACCTTCATTCCCTTCATACTCCTTTGGTGAGACTAAGTTCCAGTCAAGCAGCTTCTTCCCACAGTCCACTGCTTTGTGATACTGATTACCAAGATGATGATTCCCCAATCACTATAATCTTAACCTGTTCAAGTCTAGAGTCAACCATTATCTTACCCACATATCACCATAAACTGTGCTTCTAACTATGTAACCCTGTACCTCGAGTGGCTCTTGGGCCTTATACAGAGTGAACATCATTGTAAAAAAAATATATGAAAACTTGTATCTTATACCTGCAAAAAACAGTGTCTAAAGGTTAATTTTTCCCTTGACACCACTATTATTTTAACTACCTTCTCTCCTCGGCAATGTTTATTGTTTTAAAAAGTGATGATTAAAATCTAAAAATATGATAAAAATGAATTTATACATCTTTTTTAGCTCTTTAGAATTTACAACAAAAATATTAAATACTATTTATTTATTAGATTGTTTACTTAAAAGAATAATTTTATATTTACAACATTATAAAAACTAATACAATTTAAAACTAATGCAATGGAATATTTATCATTTATCAATTTCTAAAGATATAAATATGAAAACAATATTTTATTCATAAATTTATAAACATTTACTAAATTATTAAAATATGTGTACCAATTATAGGGAAATCCTTATTATTTGCCATTTTATAAAGTTTGAATCAGTTGGTAATTAGTTAATGTTTTGCCAACTATTCCAATAAACAATATAATAAATAGTGTAAACAAACAATCTAATAAATAGTGTTTATTATTTTGTTGTCAATTTGCAAGAACAAAGAAATTTTATAAATTCACTTTTATATGATTAAGTTATCTTAAAATTCTAATCATTTTTAAACAATAAACATTGCCAAGAGAGTTAAGGTAGTTAAAATAATAGCAATATCAAGGGAAAAACCATCTTTTTGACATTCCATTTTTTGCAGGCAAGTTTACCAAAAAAATTATATGCACACTTATGTAATGACTGGCTATCCATTTTGAATTTTGCCTGTCTACTAAAGATAGCTAATTTCTGTTGTAGAGACCTGTACCTCACATTTGTGTTTCTTGAATGCCCTCAGGACCAGCCTGTGGTTTATACTGAGTGAGCTTTAGTTACAGCTTTTTACTAGTTACCTAAAGGGTGTATGATCTGATGAACAAGGCCAGTATACTCAAACACTCAGTCACAATGACTTACAACTTTGTGCAATCACAGCTATCAGCACCTTCTAAATAGTTTCATCTTTCCAGTTTCACTAACAGGGTTTGGGTCAAACTGGGTGTGGTTTTCAGGCACTTTTCAAAAGTACTGTACTCTGGGATCATCTTCACAGGCCAGTATTATCCAGAAGTCACTTCCTTGAGAAATCAACCAGGCTGAAATTTGAACACAGGTTTCATAGTTAGAACATTAATGTTCAATCCCAGTAGTTCCCAAACTTTTATTCTCTGGGATGCATTTTCTAAATTAAAAATTTTCTTGCACCTCATCAAATTTTATATGATAAAAAGTATATTTAAAAATAAAAAGACAGAGAAAGAGTTAAAGGGAGATAAACGCGGATTTAAAGTCAGAACATTATCGTTGATAACTCTCTCCTTCAATTTGTGGAGCTTAGTTGCTATATTCTTAATACTTGATATAATGCAAAAGTATCACAATGATAAAATTGGTCAATAATTATTTATAACTATTTATATTGGACTCATGCATGTGATTACAAGTAATCCATAAAATTTTAAATTTTGAAATCATATTTACTTTTGGCATATGAATCTTTTAAAACTGTTTCTAAATCTTTTATTGTCTTTCACTTATTCCACTTCACCTGCTATACTCTTCATCTACACCTATGAGATGCATCTCAACGTTTGGCAACCACTGTTCTATGCTCTTGACCACACACCTACATGTACAAACTTATATACATTCATATATGAGTATGTGAGGTGGAGGTGCATGAATATTATCTTTGAGGAAAGTTTTCATGTCAGAATATTCAAAGATAGTACAGATTCATTTAGTATGACCATAATGAATATAAATAAATAATTTACCATTTAAAATTTAAAACTATTTGTATGATAACATCTTTATTCCCATTATTTCAATTTTAAGTGTGTTTGTGTGACAGAGGAGGGAAATAAAAATAGAAAATTTATTTCTAATATTTCAAGAATTTTTCATTATTACTTAAAATTGGATGAATATGAAATTTAGTTAAAAGATAAATATGAAAATGAATTCTAGAGAAATCTTTATGATATTTTAAATCCAATTTAGTTAAAATCTAGTTTATTTGTACCATTAAAAATGTCAGCCATAACTCTGTTTGCCATGTGTAAGAAACATTTCTGATTTTTAGATCATTAAAAGTAAAAAATATAAAAGGAAGCTTACAGAAATTTACAAAAATAAAAGGCAATGTAATCTATAATATATTATAGAATATATTGCTTTTATAGAATAATATATAATAAACTACTTTTTATAGAATGATATATTCTAGAATACATTGCTTTTTATATAGGGTGTTTCTAACATCTGGACACATAGGAAATCTCATTAACTATATTTTTTTACCTCCACAGATTAAACATGGTTTTGTCATAAGAAGAAAGAACTGACTTCTTTTTCTGGAGTATGCTAAAGAAGAAGGTGTACTCAATGAAAATCACAGATGCAACACACTTGATTGAATGCATAAAGAGTGAATGTACTAAAATTGACAGCAATGTGGAGTTATTACATCAAGTTCACATGAATGTTGCAAAGCACATCAACCTTTGCATCTCAAATGATAGAAATCACATTGAAGATGTTATTTGTTAATATTCCTTAATATTTCTTGAAAACATACATTTTAGCCTACATGCCCAGACTTTAGATACTTTGTATAATAATATGCTATAGAATACATTTCTTTTTATAGAATATTTTATAGAATGCATTGATTTTTTTAGAATAATATATTATAGACTAAATTGCTTTTTATAGAATAATATATTATAAAACATATTTCTTTTTATATAGCAATATGTTATAAAATACATTGCTCTTAATAGAATAATATATTATAAAATATTGCGTTTCATAAAAAATATAATTTCTTTTTATATAATATATGCTTTTTATTTCTTGATTTTTATTTATGACTAGCAGTAGAGTCTGGCATTGCCTGGGGATGTAACAGTAAGAGATAGATCAAGTATCGCCCATCATAAAGACTGAAAAATAAAATTGACAAAGATTATTGTTTAAGATTGACGGACATGCATGTCTTAATTAGTTTTTTTTTTGTTTTGTTTTGTTTTTTTACGAATTGGTCGAACCCAAACTCAAACAAAAAACATTGTTTTCAATCATTATGAGTCTACTGATTGAATAGAATCTTATTATAAACAATTGTCATGTAAATTGAATTTTAAAGCATTCTGAATGTAAAAATAAAGAAAAAATGTGTGCAAGACAATAAGAAACACTACCTGCCAAAAAAAAAAGTGAAGTTTTGTTGAAATCAGTTCATGTAGGAAATTCGATCCCATATATAAACGAACACACACACACATACACACACCACCTGGGTTTTATAATAAGTATATGAGTTGTTCCCCTTTCATTCTCATGACATGTTAATCATGTTTTTAAATTGATTTCGTGCAAAAACAATTGTGTTTTTCCAAATTTTGGCACTGTCAGAACCACCGCAAGGTAATTTTACATAGTCCTGTGAAGTTTTGCTGAAATCGGTTGAAAAGTGTAGGAAATTCGATCCAATATATAAACGAACAGACACACACACAACCTGGGTTTTATAAT